AAAATAAAAACGTAATTGGTACGAACGTTAATTAATATTCAAACAGTGTAACAGCAGGAAGGAAAAAGCGTAATACGCGACCTTTTCGTACCAAGGTGGTTGGTGCGGATGAATTTAAATATTACAATTAATCACTCTGCTATTAATTAAATCGCACATACATTAGCACGTTAATTAAGTCGGGCCTCTTTTTTAATATTAACCAATTTTCAGTTTTCTTTCCTTCGACTTCTTCTGTTGGCGAATGAGTAAAAATAATACGCGGCTTCCTGCTCGCCCTACATACAACCTAACTGTACATCTTTTGTACCTATCGAGAAACGCCAGGAAACGTACTCGTTCCATGGCCGTGGATTAAGCACGACGAAAGTAGATGCAAACTACATATTCTATTTCTCAAAATGTAATTAAGGATCTTTTTTTTCACCAGTCAGACGTTCATCAATCAACTCCACGCCAGACGAAGAAAGAAGAAAAAAAGATCTCAGAAATAAATAATTTTCCATTTCGAAATATTATTACCCAAACCTAACGGTCGACGCGGTAAATTAAAAAATCATTTCCTATTAAACATCATCCACGGAGAAGACTCGTTGTATTTATTGTGTTGAGACAAAAGAGCATTTTTGATATGCAACGAATTACGAACAAACCTTGAACCATGTCAACTGATGATGGGTGTCTATGCAAGCGAAATCAACGATTTCAATACAGATGAATGATAGACAGCAACAGGACCAGAATTGATTTAGAATCGCATTAAATGTCAAACGACTTTTTCAAAATGAAAAGAAACGCGATGTAGTAGAATGTCGTCATGAAATAACGTCATATTCTAATTATGTAGTAGTAAATCATCGATTGAATCATTATGAAACATAAAAATAATTAAAATTTTATGAAATATATTTTGGATTAAACATAAATATTAATTACGGTATACATATATTAAAAACGGTACTTAATGATATTATATATGCAGTTAGTGGTATTTAATATTTACAACTGTCATAATTCTCGCATTTAATTCGATGAGATTGATTGAGTGGTTAATGTAAATTTAATTCGAGAAATTGATGTACTTATTCGTCAATTATACCTAAACATAGTTATAGAAATTGATACATCCAATCTCTCAATCTTCTTAAAGACAGTTATAATTCGAATTATTTTCTTTTCACGTCGGGGAAAATTCAATTTACATAATATGATATTAAAACATTAAGAAGCTATGTTGGTGGGAGTTAATCGTTATATCGAGGATTAAAATTAGAAGAAGCGAACATAAATAATGCTATAAATAACACGAAGAGAACAGTAACATAAGAAGAGCAATAAATCGCATGGTTTAACGGTCTATACTCGTATAGTGTTGTTATAAAAAAATCGTATCTTCTTAATTTTTACTTTTATAGAAATAACATTTACCATGAATATTTTATAAAAAATGAACTTCCAAATAAAACTAGTTTTATTTTCTTGGTATTATTAGAACCATAGCTAGAATGGTTTAAAAATTGTGTTGTCATTTACGCTTTTCTTGAATGAAATTTCAACTTGTTTTATGTGTATTCTAAAGTGTTGATATTAAAGAAATGAATTTCACCATAAATACTCTACAAAAATTAAGCTTTAAATTGAATATAAACTTATTGCTTCCTCATGATCCCATCTAAAGTTATAAATCTTTGAAAACTTGGTTAAAGTATCCTAGAATTGCTTTTAGTGTTATTATAAAATAAATCGTATCTTCTTAATTATTTATTTTATAGAAATAGAATTTACCATGAATATTCTATAAGAAATGAGATTTCAAATAAAACTAATTTCATCTTCTTGGTATTATTAGAACCTTAGCTAGAATGGTTTAAAAATTCTGTTGTCATTTCCACTTTTCTTGAATGAATTTTCAACCTATTTTATATTGTGTATTCTAAAGTATTAATATTAGAGAAATGAATTTTACCATAAATACTCTACAAAAATGAAGCTATAAATTGAATATACACTTATTGCCTCCTCATAATCCCATTTAAAGTTATAAATCTTTGAAAACTTGGTTAAAATATCCTAGAATTGCTTTTAGTGGTATTATAAAACAAATCGTATCTTCTTAATAATTTATTTTGTAGAAAGAGGTTTTACCATGAATATTCTATAAGAAATGAGATTTCAAATAAAACTAATTTCACCTTCTTGGTATTGTTAGAACTATAGCTAGAATGGTTTAAAAAATGGGTTGTCATCTACTCTTTTCTTAAATGAGTTATCAACTTATTTTATGTGTATTCTAAAGTGTTGATATTAGAGAAATGAATTTTACCATAAATACTCTACAAAAATTAAGTTTTAAATTGAATATTAACTTATTGCTTCCTCATGATCTCACCTAAAGTTATAAATCTTTGGAAACTTGGTTAAAATATCCTAGAATTGCTTTTAGTGTTATTATAAAACAAATCGTATCTTCTTAATAATTTATTTTATAGAAATAAGATTTACCATAAATATTCTATAAGAAATAAGATTTTAAATAAAACTAATTTCATCTTCTTGCTATTCTCAGAACCATAGTTAGAGTGGTTTGAAGATATGATTGTCATTAATTCTTCTCTTTAAAGAATTTTCAACTTATTTTATATTGTGTATTCTAAAGTGTTGATATTAGAAAAATGAATTTCACCATAAATACTCTACAAAAATTAAGCTTTAAATTAAATATAAACTTATTGTTTCCTCGTGATTCCACCTAAAGTTATAAATCTTTGAAAACTTGGTTAAAATATCCCAGAATTGCTTTTAGTGTTATTATAAAACAAATCGCATCTTCTTAATAATTTATTTTATAGAACTAGGGTTTACCATAAATATTCTATAAGAAATGAGATTTCAAATAAAACTAATTTCATCTTCTTGCTATTCTTAGAACCATAGCTAGAATGGTTTAAAAATATGGTTGTCATTAATTCTTTTCTTGAAAGAATTTTCAACTTATTTTATATTGTGTATTCTAAAATGTTGATATTAGAGAAATGAATTTCACCATAAATACTCTACAAAAATTAAGCTTTAAATTGAATATAACTTGGTTGCTTCATTTTGATTACGTCTAAAGTTATAAATTTTTGAAGACTTGACTAAAATATGATAGAATTATTTTTAGTGTTGTTATAAACAAATCATATCTTTTTAACCAATACTTTTATAGGAATATGATTTATCACGAATACTCTATAAGAATTGGGCTTTCTAATAAATCTAATTTCACCTTCTTGGTATTATTGGATCTGTAGCTACAATAGTTTAACTATTGGATTGTCATTTATTCTTTTCTTTAATGAGTTTTCAACTTACTTTATGATGTGTATTCTAAAGTGTTGATATTAGAGAAATAAATTTTACCATAAATACGCTACACAAATTAAGCTTGAAATTGAATATAATCGGGTTGCTTTATCTTGATTATACCTAAAGTTATAGAACATTAACTTCTTAACTAATACTTTTATGGAAATAGGATTTATCACGAATATTATATAAGAACTGGACTTTCAAGTAAATCTAATGTAAGATTGGGTTCTCTTATTTATGAACTAATTTTATATTGTAAATTCTAAATTGAGAACATAAATAACGCAATAAACAACATAAGGAGAACAACAACATAAGGAGAGCAATAAAACGCACGTTTTAACGGTCGATAATGCTCGTCGAATGAATCATGTCAACGTTTTGTAGAGACAATTGAATTAATTTTCGACATGGGCACGTCCGGCCCGTCCACGGGTCGTTTGTTATAGCCGAACGGGTCGGGGAACCCTATATTCCCGTATATATTATTATTCCAGGGTTCCGGATCGGCGCGCACCCATCCAAATAGAAATCTATTAAAACAAAAAACCGTTCATCCTTCTTTAAATTTTTATATTTATATATATTATTTACGTGGAATGGGTTTGAAGCTCCATGGGAATGGTTGATGGTTCGACAGGCTCTGTGTGTGCTGTGATGTGTAAAACGGAAACGAAACGGGGCTCGGCTGCGTTACATTCGTCCCCCTTTTTTTGTTTTAACAACGAAGGGAATTAAGCGGATTAAACAGTAATTGTGTGTACTTGTAAATGTTCATGCAGTTTCAGTGTTAACCTGAAAATACTTTTAACCCCTTAAATCGAATGAAAATGATTTATGAAATATACGATTTAAATGTAGTTGGATTAAATGTAGGGTTGTTATGTTGAGATTATAACACGTTTGATTGCTGTTTTAATTAGAAATAGTGGGGTATGCCAAAAAGGCGGACAGGCTTTCGTTGGCAGCAGCCGTTCGCGTACAGTTGTTGTGTGTCGGTGCCTCGGGCGGCATAAAGGTTGAAGCAAAGGAAATGTTACAAGGTCTTCTAGATATCACGGAGATTGTGTGTGTGTGTACGGTTTTGTAATAGCCTTCTAGGCCCGAACGCTCTCCGCATTCGGCGCGACCATCTTTCCGAAGAACGTTTTTTAATTATTATTCATAATGAGGAGGAAGACGCCGGTCACTCCCCCTAATCATATCGTTTTCGGCAGTAATAAGAACAAGACTTTAAATATTTCATATACAAACATTTCATCGCAATTGCACTCACTAATGGCACTACATCGTGTAACTTTCGCAACGCTTCGTGTATGATGATAAGTAATATGTCTGTATTGAGGACGTTTCAAAACGTTAGCATTATCCTCAACAATGAAAATACGACAAGGTTACTTAAAAATTATTGTTTACGAAATAACCGCCCAAGTATCATCAAACCCACGCGATGGGCACTGCTGAATAGAAAACCACATATCCTTTTTTGGTATACTTTCATATTCATGGGAAAACTTTTTTTTCATTTTCAATCATTTTTATTACAATCACTACATTGTATTTGAATACGTTTAAAGAACAATAGTATTGCAAATAAGAAGCAAGGTCAACTCAAACCGCGATCTTAACGTTACCCATTTTCGTTTCAGGTTAAAATATGGTTTCAAAACCGAAGAAGTAAATATAAGAAAATGATGAAAGCGGCGCAAGTAACAGGTAGCACGAATAATAATGGAACACCCGGAAATCATTCTGCACTATTAGGGGGAAATGTTAATTTGCCATCTACTAGTCCAGGACCTCAAGGACAAAATATGATGCAAGGTAAAAAGATTTTCTTTTTAAATATTTAACTAGATTGAAAAAGATTTTCCCATAATAAAAATCAACCAAGTAATTTCGCAACGAGCAACCTTAACACAGAAACGCCTTTGAAAAAAAAAGCGAAAGAAAAGCAGATAATCGACGTTCGCGCGCGTTCACGTACTACACAGGTACGTTTTTTCCTTCAATGGTAGCGATTCTTCTTGCACAAGTCCCCCCTGTTGCTTACGCAACAATTTCAGTTCATGTCGGGATCTGTTGACAGAAAAAATGCAAAGTGAAGGTTGTTTTTGCTTAATTTCAAAAATATCTATATTTTTACCTTTAAAGAATTCTTTTTTAACTTTTTAATGACTATGTTTAAATTTAATTGAATAGGTGGTGGCTCATCTAGTGGATCTCCGGGTACGGGTTATATTCAGCACTCATCACCAGCGCCAAGTTCGACGCCTGGTTCTGATATGTCTGGACAACCTGCAGCAAGTCCTGGTTGGGATGTTAAGCCCCAACAGCCTATACATCCACCACCTCATCCTACACCACATCCACACCCGCCACATAACTACCTCCCTCAATATTCGTGGTATCCATCGGATAATCCTGGCTTATTAACGTAAGTACTAAATTTTTTTTAATTTAAAAAAATCATTCTAGACTCATTTAGGAGTTAAGACATGATTTGTGTATCAAATTGAAGCGTATTTTAAGATAACTAAAAGATAATAAGAAAGTTGTTATAAAAAAATCATGGGATAAATAGTTTGAAATAAAAATTGTGAAAATTAAGTGATTTGTTCAAAATATCATCTTACAACCCAAAAAAAATCATCTTGGGTTTATTTCTAGGAGTTGAGATATGATTTATGTATCAAATTGAAGCTAAAAGGTCGTGTTTTAAAATAACTAAAAGATAATAATAAAGTTGTTATAAAAAATTTATGAGAAAAATAGTTTGAAATAAAAATTGTGAAAATTAAGTTATCTGTTAAAAATATTACAAATTAAAAAAAATCATTTTAGGTTTATTTTTAGGAGTTGAGATATGATTTATGTATTAAATTAAAGCTAAATGACCGTGTTTTAACATAAAAAGAAGAAATTATAAAGTTAATATAAAAAATTCTTAGGAAAAATAGTTTGAAATTAAAATTGTGAAAATTAAGTGATCTATTAAAAATATCATCTTACAACCTAAGAAAATCATCTTGGGTTTATTTCTAGGAGTTGAGATATGATTTATGTATTAAATTAAAGCTAAATGATCGTATTTTAAGATAAAAAGAAGAAATTATAAAATTGATATAAAAAATTCTTATGAAAAATGGTTTGAAATTAAAATTATGAAAATTAAGTGATCTGTTAAAAATATCATCTTACAACCTAAAGAAATCATCTTGGATTTATTTCTAGGAGTTGACATATGATTTATGTATCAAATTGAAGCTGAAAGGTCGTATTTTAAGATAACTAAAAGATAATAATAAAGTGGTTATAAAAAATTTATGAGAAAAATAGTTTGAAATAAAAATTGTGAAAATTAAGTTCTCTGTTAAAAATATTACAAATTAAAAAATATCATTTTAGATTTATTTTTAGGAGTTGAGATATGATTTATATATTAAATTAAAGCTAAATGATCGTATTTTAATATAAAAAGAAGAAATTATAAAGTTAATACAAAAAATTTTTAGGAAAAATAGTTTGAAATAAAAATTGTGAAAATTACGTGATCTGTTAAAAATATCATCTTACAACTTAAAAAAATCATATTGGGTTTATTTCTAGGAGTTGAGATATGATTTATGTATCAAATTGAAGCTAAAAGGTCATATTTTAAGATAACTAAAAGATAATAACAAAGTTGTTATAAAAAATTCATGGGAAAAATAGTTTGAAATAAAAATTGTGATAATTAAGTGATCTGTTAAAAATATTACAAATTAAAAAAATCATTTTAGGTTTATTTTAAGGAGTTGAGATATGATTTATATATTAAATTAAAGCTAAATAATCGTATTTTAAGATAAAAAGAAAAAATTATAAAGTTAATATAAAAAATTCTTAGGAAAATAGTTTGAAACAAAAACTGTGAAAATTACGTGATCTGTTAAAAATATCATCTTACAACTTAATAAAATCATCTTGGATTTATTTATAGGAGTTGAGATATGATTTATGTATCAAATTGAAGCTGAAAGGTTGTATTTTAAGATTACTAAAAGATAATAATAAAATTGTTATAAAAAATTTACGGTAAAATAGTTTGAAATAAAAATTGCGAAAATGAAGTTATCTGTTAAAATATTACAAATTAAAAAAATCATTTTAGGTTAATTTTTCGGAGTTGAGATATGATTTATATATTAAATTAAAACTAAATGATCGTGTTTTAAGATAAAAAGAAGAAATTATAAAGTTGATATAAAAATTTCTTAGGAAAAATGGTTTAAAATAAAAATTGTGAAAATTAAGTGATCTGTTAAAAATACAACTTAAAAAAAATCATCTTGAGTTTATTTCTAGGAGTTGACATATTATTTATATTACAAATAGAAACTAAAAGGTTCTATTTTAAGAAAACTAAAAGATAATAATAAAGTTGTTATAAAAATTTTTGAGAAAAATAGTTTGAAATAAAAAATTGTGAAAATTAAGTGATCTGTTAAAAATATTACAAATTAAAAAAATCATATTAGGTTTATTTTTAGGAGTTGAGATATGATTTATATATTAAATTAAAGCTAAATGATCGTATTTTAAGATAAAAAGAAGTAATTATAAAGTTGATATAAAAAATTCTTAGGAAAAATAGTTTGAAATAAAAATTGTGAAAATTAACTGATCTGTTAAAAATATCATCTTACAACTTAAAAAAATTATCTTGGGGTTATTTCTAGGAGTTGAGATACGATATGTATCAAATTATTAAAATATCAAATTATTACAGGTTTTTGGTGATCTATTAAGAAAATAATCTTCTTTTTAATAAACAGATCCATTTTGAGACATCTTTATTAGTTCTTGAGATAAACATTTTTAAACTCAATCGAAAATTATAAGCTTTTGGGCTTAATTACTTGATATATTCTAAACATTCATCACAAATTCTTTTCCCTATGCATTCTAGTTCTACTGATATCCATGCTGAATACAGCAAGAGGTTATTATTTTCCAGTAAAGATGATTTGAATCTAAATAATTTTATGCAGAAGCAATGCTCAATGCTTCTAAGTTCTTAACAATCAAATTAACATAATTTTTGAGTACAATAGTATTTAGAAACTCTTATTTTCTTAATTTAATATTAGAAACATATTAAACTTTGCCTTACAACCCAGCAAAATCCATAAGGTTGGAATATTCAAATTGTCGTAGACATCCCCAAAAGAAGTTCATTATCCGTCTTTGCGAATTACTATCTTGTCTTGTTGCTGCCTTGGAAAACAAGATTTTCTGTGTATCCACATATCATGCAGTTCTTAGCTTTGTAATAATCGTTTATTATCCTGCATATATAATGAATTGCTTCTAATTTCCATCATGTTCGGTTATAAATGGTTGTCGATAACGAGGAAGCGACGTTTTTGTTATTGTTAAGACTCATAAAGTTTTCTATAAAATTTCGTGTCCGTTATTTCTTCTATTAATTGATCATTGAGATCCTCAACTATATACCCAGTTTCCTTTAATATAGCTTTTTAAGCCCCAAACCCGGTAGGATAAGCTTAGTAAAGTGTGTTGCAAAATTACATAGTTAACTAATTTCAAATTGTTAGTTTCCTTTATAGATACGCTAGAGTAACTAGAGTGGTTAAAGAAGAATTTCTTCACCATGTACACTAAATACTCATCACATTTCATATTTATGAGCGAAGAAAGAGAAATTAACTGAATTGAATGCGATCCAACCTATACAAGTCATGATATCTTCTTATAATCGTTTATACTGCTACTTATTCAACAAATCCTTGCTCTTCACAAGTTTTTGCTACAATGAGCTATCATGAGATTTTTGCTATCAGAGATATTAAATGAACTTTTCCACTTGGCATCGGCAGCCACACAATTTTTACTTGTTTCTACGTTTTCCATATATTTGTTTAATAACTCCCTTCATTCCAATATTCTTAAATTACACTCTTTGAAGATTAATTTGATATAAAAATCATTTCTTAAGTCCGATAAATAGAATCAGAATGATTTTTTAAAATGGAACTGTTTTATCGCATCTTTTATTTTTACCCATAAATAGTTTTACAAGTAAACTTTTAAATTTTTCTCCAAAACCAATATAGCACCATATGGATATTTATCAATATCCTTAAAGTATATACTTTGAGGATTAATTTGGTATAAAAACCATTTCTTAACTCCAACAAATAGTATCACGATGATTTCTTTAAAGTTGTAGTGGTTTACGTCATTTTTACTTTTTCTCAAAAAATATAAATTTAAAGATTTAACGATTTCTCAAAAAACCATTGCATCACCATATGGATATTTATGAATATTCTTAAATTATACACTTTGAGGATTGATTTGATATAAAAATTATTTCTTAACTCCAATAAATAGAGTTAGGACAATTTTTTAAAATTGTACTATTTTATCGCAGCTTTATTATTACCCAAAAAGTAGACTTTTAAATTTTTCTGAAAAACCGTTATATCACCATATGGATATTTATCAATATCCTTAAAGTATATACTTTGAGGATTAATTTGGTATAAAAATCATTTCTTAACTCCAACAAATAGTATCACGATGACTTTTTTAAATTTGTAGTGGTTTATGTCATCTTTAATTTTTTCCTAAAAAGTACAGTTTCAAATTTTTAAATATTTCTCAAAATCTATTACTACACCATATGATTTTGTTTCAATATTCTTAAATTATACACTTTAAGGAGTAATTTGATATAAAAGTCATTTCTTAATTCTAACAAATACAAGCAGGGCGATATTTTAATTTCTACTATTTAATCGCAATTACATTTTTATGTAAAATTTAGAATTTTTAACATTTTCTCAAAAAATCATTTAGGTATTATTGAATTTTCTTCAATTATACACATTGAAGTTTAATTTAAGTAATTAATTAAATTAATTAGAGTATTAACTTTTATATTATTGAAAGAACTCAGAAAAGCATTAATTATTTTTTCTTCTTTAAACCAAAGAAGTAACTTTCATTAACCTCTCTATGGTTAAAAATAAAAACAAGTTTTCTTCGGTTAACCACGAAACGGATCACTTATCCTTTCCCAATGACGTCCGCCATTTAACGGTGTTTACACAGGTCGGCAGTAATTCATCACTAACAACACACAGAGAGAGAGTGTAAGCCGAAGAGGTCTCCTCCGCGTATACCCCTTGCAGGTTTAGCTGTAAATTGAACCGTCCCGTCGTTGTTGAAGAACCGAAGAAGACCGTGAAGACGTCCGACGATGTATATTTCGTGCAGGGGGGAAATGGGGCGAGCAGACGTCGATAATTAGCGTTTTAACTGGAAGTGTAATTAACAGTATAGCACTCCACTCTTAATTTGTTTACTGCACTTTTTTTCGAAAGTAAAACTTTTAAATTATCACAATCATATAAAATTTTTTGTTTTTAGAATTAAAATTAAAACAAACTTTTTTTTAATTATTAATCAAATGCAATATAAACTCCGTTAGATTTTCACGGTTTTAATTACCACCTTTGGTAAGATCTTATGATGAACTTGAACTTGGGATAGTAAAGATTTTTTTTCCTATGAATATGTGTATACATGAATGTGTCGAGACGCCAACACATTGTAACACGTCATAATTTCACGTGGCATTATAATAATGATCGGTCGTATAATCGAATATTACTTTAGCTGACTGTGAAATTGCATAATTAACGTTATGATTATTAGTTTATAATTTCTGAATTCGCTGTATATCCTGTCTTCGATGACTTTACTCGATTCTCAACGATATTATTCAACTATAACTAAAGAGGGAAATTTTATTGATAAACATAATAAAATAAAATAAAATTGTGGCATGCGCGAGACACCTTCTAAATAGAAAATTTAATTTAAATTATAAAATTATCTTTATTTGTGAATCCAGGATACCTGGTCTTCATGATATAAACAAGATAAACGATAAATTATCTTCTTCTTCTTTTCCTTTTGCCTTATATCTTAAGGCATCAGGTCTTTGATTAATTTTTGATACTCTCTTCTATTTAGCGCTGTGCTCTTTGCTTCCTCAATGTTCATTCCCTCTGCTCAATCGCCCTCTTAATGTTTAGGAACATTTTATCATCAATACACATCACGTGCCCATACCATTGCAACTGACTACTCTGTATAGATTTCCCTAAAGGACCTATCCTTAATTCCTTTCTTGCGGTTGTATTTTTGACTCAATCCATTCTGGTCTTCCCTATTATATGCCTTAGCTACCTTATTTCTGCAGCTGTTATTTTGCTTTTGTGGTTATCCTGCATTGGTCAGGTTTCTGCCATATATATTAATATTAGTATGTTTACTGCTTTGTACAGGTGAATCTTTCTTTCTTTACTCAACACACTTTTGATGCTTTGGACTACATTGTATCTGTAATTGAGTCATCGCTTCTGCCCACATGTGATGTTAATCACATGCTAATCTTCATTATTTTACTTTTTTGCGTTTATTTCCATTTCTGCACTTTGTACATTGATTGTGACATTGATTCCATTTGTTGACCACGGCTTGTAACTTTCTGACAATATCCATAATAAATACTGGGTACACAAGAGTGTGGAGGTTTACTTCTTCCTTTTCCAAGTTTTAGGTTCTGTGCTCTCTCTTTACTTTTTTTAAGATTTCATCCATAACTACAATAAACAGTAGTTGACTAACGGAGTTTCACTGTTTGATTACTTTTTCTAAATTGAAGCTTTTACACCCTATCTCAGTTATTCTGATAATCTGTTGTTAGATATTTTGTTGACATTTTTTATATTTTGATACTGGTCTTTATCTGCATCTATATAGATATCACTTATACTTTGTTTCCTCATAGTACTTCATATAATTCTGAAGGGTACATTGTCACATGCTTTAGTTATTCGATGAACACAATATGTGTTTCTATATTGTTTGCTAATCTCTTCCCTGCGACTTGTTAAATGGTAAAGACATAAATTCATTTACAATTCTCTGCTTAATAATCTTTCCATATATTCTAGATATTGAATTTGTGACGCTGATTCCTCTGTAGTTAGGGCAGATCTTTTCCGGCATGTTTTCTCTCCATCATGTTCTTGCGGTTGTATTTTTGACTCAATCCTTTCTGGTCTTCCCTATTATTTGCCTTAGCTACCTTATTTCTACAGCTGTTATTTTGCTTTTGTGGTTATCCTGCATTGGCCAGGTTTCTGCCATATATATTAATATTAGTATATTTACTGCTTTGTACAGGTGAATCTTTCTTTCTTTACTCAACACACTTTTGATGCTTTGGACTACATTGTATCTGCAATTGAGTCATCGCTTCTGCCCACATGTGATGTTTATGCCTTCTGCCTCGTTGCCGATTTGATTGCTAATCTTCATTATTTTACTTTTTTGCGTTTATTTCCATTTCTGCACTTTGTACCTTGATTGTGGCATTGATTCCATTTGTTGACTGCGGCTTGCAACTTTCTGACAGTATCCATCATAAATACTGCGTACACAAGAGTGTACTTCTTCCTTTTCCAAGTTTTAGGTTCAGTGCCCTCTCTTTACTTTTTTTAAGATTTGGTGCATAACCACAATAAACAGGAGATGATTAACGGAGTTTCGCTGTTTGATTACTTTTTCCAAATTGAAGCTTTTACACTCTATCCCAGTTATTCTGATATTCTGTTGTTAGATATTTTGTTGACATTTTTTATATTTTGATCATCACTTATACTTTGCTTTCTCATAGTACTTTAGTTATTCGATGAACACAATATATTTCTATATTGTGTGCTAACCTCTTCTCTACTGCTTGTTAAGTGGTAAAGACATTGTCTATACATTCCGGCTCTGAACCCGCTTTGCTTTTCTACTTCTTCAAATTCGTTTTCAATTCCTTGCTTAATAATCTTTCCATATATTCTAGATATTGAATTTGTGACGCTGATACCTCTGTAGTTAGGGCAGTTCCTTTCCGTCATGTTTCTTGTCCATCATATTCTCTGAGGTGTTAAATATTCGTGGTAACATTTTGAACAGCACCTCCGGTCCTTCCTTTATCAATTCTGTTGGTATGCCTTCTGGGCCAGATGCTTTTCCATTCTTCATATATCATTCAGGAGTAATCTCATTTTCTTTCTCTATTCTCCGTTAAAACGGCTTTGTGGTGTTGACTCATGTTTCCATATTAATCACTTCCATCCTTCCCTTATTCATTAGCCGGCTTACACAGACATATAGAACAAAAACATATGGAAAATCAGGTGAGCATCGATGCACGCCTGAACGAGGAAGCGATTTCCACGTGGTATGTCACGGTTTATGTCAAAATTTGCTGATTTTCTTTCATGATCAGTACGTGCCAAGTTTCTGGTATTTCGATTTATTAATATTTAACCGAGAACATGAAGCACCTACAAAGAATTTTGATAGCTTGGTGAACAGTCCTTCGTTTCCAAAAGAGATTTCTGCTTCTGAGACCGTTGACAATGCAAAAAACAGCAAAACTTCTGTAGAAGAAGGATATGCACGTGCTGTCCCTATAAAGGAGAAGGAAAGAGGTGTAGGAGGTTTAGTGAGATAAGGTATATTTAGAAGCTCATCAAACGTGTTTCCATCCATTCTTAAATAATTTCTAATCATCTGGATTATTGTCTCTCAAATCTCGTAAAAGCGACATGTGACAATATTTTTCTCTGTCAGTCAGCCAACTTTTTCTGCCACATACGTCGTTTTTTCTTTTTGTCTTTAGACATTCCCATGGATAACCGCACATGCAATAATACAAATTTTTCTCTTTTTATCCAAGGACAGTAGAATCTATTAGCACTGCTACATCCATTGTTGTGACAAACTACCCGCGCACTATAGCATACCATTTTCCACGCCCAATCAGTTGTTATTGTGTTCTATGCGTTTGCTGTGTATTTTTAGAGGTTATATCGTATATCGTAGACGTATTCATATTAACTTCAAAAGTAAATCAAATATCTATCATATGACCTCTAAAAACACACAGCAAATGCATAGAACTCAATGGCAGTTAACTGGGCGTGGCAAATAGTGTGACGTAGAGTGCGGGCAACCAATCCGTGGGCTACAAAACAACAATGGATGTAGCAGTCCTGTTAGATTCTACTGTCCTTGCTTTTTATTCATCACTTAACAGTCAACAAACGACTTGAAGGTTTCTTGAAAATTTCTACATGCCGATTTAAACTATACGATAAATGACACTTTTTGCCCACACACATACGATTTTTCCCTTGAAACTGATATACCATCCGCAACCACATGCTAAATCATTTGCATACTTTACCAAGGGTATGGAACTTGATGCTTTTTTCGCCATGCCGTTGTTTTGCGCATACCAACCGCCACATCTCAACACGCCACGATTTTTGAAACGAAAGAACGTCTGTGTATGATGATGTTGATTGTTGATTAACTTCCATGCTTCCGAAGATCTGGTCCTTTATATTTTTGGATCCCCTCACATACTTTGTCCTATATACTTTTTTCTCAGCTATGAATTTCTTAACTTTTTTGGTTACCTTTGTACTGTTTTGGTACTATTTCCTGTCTTCTGGGACCTCAGTAGATAGCCACTCTTAGTATAGTAGTTTCTTCTCCTGTATTTCTTTTCTTCGGCTTCTTTGTTCCACCACTCTGGTAGTATGTCTTTGATTTGTTCAACCGGGCCAAGGCCTTCTTCGGTTGCTTCTTGAATTCTCAATATCAAGTCCTTATACCTTTTCACTTAATCTTAGTTTATAAAGAACCATATGCACTCTCTCTATTCCATCAATTTTTCACGCAGGTCACCTTCTTGTCATAAATAACACGTTATAATAATACCAGTAATTTCTGCGAGATTACGAAGGCTTGTTTGTATTTGCTAGCTGACTTTTATTTTTGTCCAATAAAGTAATTTTGTTTGTAAGACTTTTCTGTTGCCTCGGCATTTTAGCAGAAAACTGTTCCAATTAAAAGATATTTAGCTAACGTGGACTCTATTCTTTGAATTTTGTCCCAAATAAGCGGTTTGAGAGTGCCGGTGTCCCAATTAAGCGGAATACACGAAAAACATGCATATTTAATTTAAACAGAACCTATAATTTAACTTATAATATATCTTGTTCTTATCAATTATATGTAGTTAAATATTACATAATGCATTAAAACAAATAAATTAAAAGATATGTTTTATTTGTTACAGGGTGTGGCCGGCCGTTTAATATTGAAGAAAATCTAAATAGATTCAAGTTTTTTTTTTATAAAATTATAATTTTATAAAAAATTTAATGAAAACGCAAGTGATTAGTTACTATAATATAGTTTTGTATACAATATACAAAATAAATTTAAAAAAATTAATAAGGGATTCGACCGTTCCAATCGTTAATCGTGCTTTTTAGTTTTGGACACAAGAAATCAAAGAAAAATCGGACAAATCTTCATCATCAATTTCTTATACTCGTTATCATCAAAGTGCTTTATTTTTTATTAAGTAGCCGGGAAATTTTTCCAATCAACCGAAACTGTTTGTTGTTATTAATCGGTAAAGTAATAGGTATTTTGTAATTATTAACGATTTTATTAAATTACCACAATTAAATTAATTTTTTTTTATTCCCCCCTTTGTATTATATTAATAAATAAACACGTCGTTTTGGTAGATCTCAATTTAAAAGATACATTTCGCCTAATAACTTGTCATTAATAAATAAATAATTATTGTAAAAAGAAAAAATTAAATTTGGTGCAATAATTGCTAAAAGATTATACATATACAAGTTTAGATTCTTTCTAAACTTGTAAATTATTTAACTGAATTCCCTAAATTAAAACGTAATTTTACATTGAGCCATTGTAAAATCGTGTAAAGATACATTATTAGGATAATCGTACTAACACAACACAAACGTAAAAGAAAGTCTTTTTTGTCTAATTTATTATGCTGCGAAATCTTTTTCTTTACGTTGGTACGATACTGTTTAATACTTGTAATATAGTTACTTCTAAGGTCTAGCTGAATGAAAGAGGGTTGAGGAGAACAAAAGTAAAAAAGAGATGGTGTAGGAAATATGTTTTGTCCAAGCCTGCACCTTAATCTGATAACTCACCTTTACGAATTGACATTTTTTCATCATCATCATTTATATTTTGTTTGTTATCAAAAAAAAGAAGAAATCGATTTATATCGATAAAAAATTTTTAAAATAATTGTTTATAAATAAAAATAAATTAATTAAGTTTCGTTATACCCCGATTTCTTCTTAAATTTTTTTCGTAACAAATTACATAAAAATCGGTGCATTTTATTATTTTTTTTAATTAAATAAATAGTGATTCATGTATAGTATTTTGTAATTTTTAGTTGTTTGTTTGTAAAGTCGACGAGTGCGTTCCGTATGTAAGTGCTGAGAAAAAAAATCTGTACCTAATTATGTAAAGTAGCGTTTAAAAGTTATCTTTTAATTTAGTAAAGAAAAATTATAATTATTGAAAGAAAAAAAACTATTTCTAAATGTGTAAAATATATAACGAAAGATCGAATGATTTAATCGTTTTATTTATTTTATTCAAATCCAACATCATCGTCGTAATTTTCCACTCGATTGACGGCTAATCCATCAAGGTAAGTGAAAATAAAAACAATGTTTGCGCGGGAAATTTGACCTGTGACCTTTTCCGATGATTTTATTTCCTGAAAACAAACGACCCAAATACGCAATCTCGACGTTAAATCGTGATCTTAGAAAATACATTCTCACACGACAGCACCGACATTTACATGAATGTATGTGTTCGTTACGCAATCGGTTCTATACAGATCCATTTCCGCTGTTTTAACGGAAATTTAACACCGTGTAACTATTTAAAATTACAATAAAATAAAAATAAAAAAGCACTTTAAAAGTTTAGGAAAATATTAAAACTTTTATGACCACTTTGAATTTCACTTTGAAAATATCTTTATTATACTTTAAAAAATCGTGATAAATGGAATTCTTAAGATATTTTAATAAAATGTTAAATCATAAACAAAACCAAATTTGAAAATTTTTATTTATTCTTGAGACACATTTTTGAAGTGACCGATTTTTTATGAAATTATGAAGTGATAAACAATTCTTTTTCATCATTTTTAAAAAATCGAATTCTTAAGATATTTCGATGAAACATTCCTAATATATAATAAAAAGCATATACTTTTATATGAACAAAACAGTACTTGAATAACTCTATTTATTTTTGAGATATAAATTTTTGAATTCAACTTGATTTTTTATCATAAGAAAACAATTAATTTCCAATATTTTTAACAAATTGTGAAAAATCGAATTCCTAAGCTATTTTAATATAAGGTTGGCAATTTATAGAGGACAGTATGTACTTTCTCATGAACAAAATCGTATTTGACAATCTTTATTCGTTCATGAGATAGTACTCTTTTTTATGAAAAAGATAATTTTTTGCCATCATTTTAAAAAAATTGTAAAAAATCAAATTCTTAAGATATCTTAATGAAATATCAGCTAATACATAAAAAAATTTTAAGATGAACAAAACCGTACTTGAATAATTCTATTCGTTTTTGACAGAAACATTTTTAAATTCAATTTTAATTTTTATAATCGTCGTTAAAAAATCGTGAAAAATCGAATTCTTAAGATATAATAATATGTTGTCAATTTATAGAGGAAAGTATGTACTTTCTCATGAACAAAACTGTATTTGAGAATCTTTATTCATTCTTGAGATATTAATTTTTGAAGTAACTTGATTTTTTATGAATTTATGAAGTAAACAACTTTTTTCATTATTTTTAAAATATCGTGAGAAATCAAATTCTTAAGATATGTGAATGAAATACCAGCTGTATATAAAGAAAAGCATATACTTTAACATGAACAAAACCGTACTTAAATAACTCCATTCGTTTTTGAGATAAAAATTGTTGAACTCAACTAGAATTTTTATAACATTATAAAGTAACAATTTTTTCCATCGTCTTTAATAAATCGTGAAATATCGGATTCTTAAGATATATTAATAATATGTTGTCAATTTATAGAGGAAAGTATGTACTTTCTCATGAACAAAGCCGTATTTGAAAATCTTTATTCATTCTTGAGATAGTAATTTTTGAAGTAACCTGATTTTTTATGAATTTATGAAGTAAACTATTTTTTTTTATCATTTATAAAAATTCGTGAAAAATCGATTTCTGAAAATATATTAATAATATGTTGTCAATTTATAGAGGAAAGCATGTTCTTTGTCATAAACAAAACCGTATTTGAAAATCTTAATTCGTTCTTAAGATAGTGATCTTTGAAATAACCTGATTTTTGTATGAATTTTTAAACAGCTTTTTTCATCATTTTAAAAAAATCGTGAAAAATCAAATTCTTAAGATATCATAATGAAATACTAGCTATATATAAAGAAAAGCATATACTTTTACATGAACAAACCCGTACTTAAATAACTCCATTCATTTTTGAGATAAACATCTTTGAACTGAACTTTTATTTTTATAACATTATAAAGCAAACAATTTTTTCCATCGTCTTTAACAAATCGTGAATTGTCGAATTTTTAAGATATATTAATAATATGTCGTCAATTTATAGAGGAAAGTATATATTTTCTCATGAACAGAACCATATTTAAAAATCTTGATTCATTCTTGAGATAATAATTTTTGAAGTAACCTTATTTTTTATGAATTTATAAAGTAAACAACTTTTTCATCATTTTTAAAATATCGTAAAAAATCGATTTCTTAAGATATCGTAATAAAATACCAGCTATATATAAAGAAAAGCATATACTTTTACATGAACAAAACCGTACTTAAATAACTATATTCATTTTTGAGATAAAAATTGTTGAACTCAACTAGAATTTTTATAACATTATAAAGTAACAATTTTTTCCATCGTCTTTAATAAATCGTGAAATATCGGATTCTTAAGATATATTAATAATATGTTGTCAATTTATAGAGGAAAGTATGTACTTTCTCATGAACAAAGCCGTATTTGAAAATCTTTATTCATTCTTGAGATAGTAATTTTTGAAGTAACCTGATTTTTTATGAATTTATGAAGTAAACTATTTTTTTTTATCATTTATAAAAATTCGTGAAAAATCGATTTCTGAAAATATATTAATAATATGTTGTCAATTTATAGAGGAAAGCATGTTCTTTGTCATAAACAAAACCGTATTTGAAAATCTTAATTCGTTCTTAAGATAGTGATCTTTGAAATAACCTGATTTTTGTATGAATTTTTAAACAGCTTTTTTCATCATTTTAAAAAAATCGTGAAAAATCAAATTCTTAAGATATCATAATGAAATACTAGCTATATATAAAGAAAAGCATATACTTTTACATGAACAAACCCGTACTTAAATAACTCCATTCATTTTTGAGATAAACATCTTTGAACTAAACTTTTATTTTTATAACATTATAAAGCAAACATTTTTTTCCATCGTCTTTAACAAATCGTGAATTGTCGAATTTTTAAGATATATTAATAATATGTCGTCAATTTATAGAGGAAAGTATGTATTTTCTCATGAACAAAACCATATTTGAAAATCTTGATTCATTCTTGAGATAATAATTTTTGAAGTAACCTTATTTTTTATGAATTTATAAAGTAAACAACTTTTTCATCATTTTTAAAATAACGTGAAAAATCGATTTCTTAAGATATGTTAATGAAATACCAGCTATATATAAAGAAAAGCATATACTTTTACATGAACAAAACCGTACTTAAATAACTACATTCATTTTTGAGATAAAAATTGTTGAACTCAACTAGAATTTTTATAACATTATAAAGTAACAATTTTTTCCATCGTCTTTAATAAATCGTGAAATATCGGATTCTTAAGATATATTAATAATATGTTGTCAGTTTATAGAGGAAAGTAAGTACTTTCTCATGAACAAAGCTGTATTTGAAAATCTTTATTCATTCTTGAGATAGTAATTTTTGAAGTAACCTGATTTTTTATGAATTTATAAAGTAAACAACTTTTTCATATTTTTTTAAAATATCGTGAAAAATCAAATTTATAAGATATCTTAATGAAATACCATCTATATATAAAGAAAAACATATATTTTTACATGAACAAAGCTGTACTTAAATAACTCCATTCATTTTTGAGATAAAAATTGTTGAACACAACTTGAATTTTTATAACATTATAAAGTGACAAATTTTCCATCGGCTTTAACAAATCGTGAAATATCGAATTCTGAAAATATATTAATAATATGTTGTCAATTTATAGAGGAAAGCATGTTCTTTGTCATATACAAAACCGTATTTGAAAATCTTTATTCGTTCTTGAGATAGTGATCTTTGAAGTAACTTGATTTTTGTATGAATTTTTAAACAGCTTTTTTCATCATTTTAAAAAAATCGTGAAAAATCAAATTCTTAAGATATCATAATGAAATACTAGCTATATATAAAGAAAAGCATATACTTTTACATGAACAAACCCGTACTTAAATAACTCCATTCATTTTTGAGATAAACATCTTTGAACTGAACTTTTATTTTTATAACATTATAAAGCAAACAATTTTTTCCATCGTCTTTAACAAATCGTGAATTGTCGAATTTTTAAGATATATTAATAATATGTCGTCAATTTATAGAGGAAAGTATATATTTTCTCATGAACAGAACCATATTTAAAAATCTTGATTCATTCTTGAGATAATAATTTTTGAAGTAACCTTATTTTTTATGAATTTATAAAGTAAACAACTTTTTCATCATTTTTAAAANATTTTTGAAGTAACTTGATTTTTTATGAATTTATGAAGTAAACAACTTTTTTCATTATTTTTAAAATATCGTGAGAAATCAAATTCTTAAGATATGTGAATGAAATACCAGCTGTATATAAAGAAAAGCATATACTTTAACATGAACAAAACCGTACTTAAATAACTCCATTCGTTTTTGAGATAAAAATTGTTGAATTCAACTAGAATTTTTATAACATTATAAAGTAACAATTTTTTCCATCGTCTTTAATAAATCGTGAAATATCGGATTCTTAAGATATATTAATAATATATTATCAATTTATAGAAGAAAGTATAATATACTTTCTTATGAACAAAACCATATTTGAAAATCT